GCAGCTGCAGCAGCAGCAGCAGTACCGGGCCACCATCATCCGGAGCAGCATCCGCAGTTGGGTCACGTAGCCGCCGCTGCAGCCGCCGCCGCCGCTGCCGCCGCCTCGATGGGCATGGAATCCTCGGAACTGATGGCGGTGGCTCATTACCAGGCGCAACAGCTGCAACGACAGTTGTTGGCCGAGCAGTCAGGTCCGGGCACTACGATGCTGCCGCCTACGTCTGCTCAGCCTACTGGTGGAGGCTTGATGCAGCCGCAAGGACTCCAAGGACAGCAGCCGGGCCAGCTTCAGCCGGGCCAACTTCAGCCGGGCCAGGATCCGCTACAGAGTTTGGTGCAGCAATTACTCTGTCTACAGCAGATAGAGTATTTCCTCGCGCAGCGCGGTCACAAATGATTACACTTAATCATAACCATAATAGGGATTATTTCGTGCGGGAGAATGAGATGATCGGACCAGATGACAACGTTTGGGACTCGATGCGAGCGGGAAACGTGTTTGTGCCGGTGCAAAAGTGTTCTGATTCGCCGATAGGTAAATTTCGCGCTAAATCATTGTACAACCCGCTGACGCTGTTAATGCTGCAATGCTGTTGAGAATGAAGACGAGGACGAATAATACGCGGCGGCATCTGCTCGAGTTTGTATGGTTTTTCTAATTCTCGAACGGAGGGGAGGTAGCGCGGTGTCTCCGAATTCACCACGGCGATATACGGGAAGATTGCGGAGAAACTGAATGACGGAAGCGGCAGATAGGAAAGAAGAAGAGTGGCAGTTGCACCCGTTTATTCGTGGATCGCTCTATCGCTTCGGGGCACTGTGCGGACAGATGGCTATCTCCGAAATGAAGGAGATCAAGTGTTTTTAGCGTGTGATAAAAACTTTATGTCAAAAATTATGTTAAATATGAAAGGTAGAACGATGTGACTGAAGGAAGTAAAGAATCACTTGCATGATGAAAAAGATAAAGAAGTGAGAAAAAGGAATGTTAATGCCACGCGCGTCAGAGACAATTGTCCGCTCTGGTGCGATCTGTGAATGAATCTCTATCCGTCAACAGTATTGATATAATTAATAGAGTAAATGAATATATATAAAATATTGTAAGAACTATATCGTAAGTACGTATTTGTGCAAACGTCAGTGTGCAAGTTAGATAGAATGAGTGGTGTGACAGTAGTTCGGGGTATATGAGAGAGAGAGAGAGGGAGAGAGAGAGAGAGAGAAAACGAAAATGAATGTGAGAGGATGTGAGTAAAAATGGAAACAGAAAAAGAGTGAGGAAGAAAAAGCGATAGAGTCACCTTCGACTCAAAGATTTTTAAGCGCAGGGACCGACCGAATGTCAATGCATAACCTCGTTGATTGTCCCGAGGGCTCGTAGAATTTTATCCTTTATTACTACTATATATAATAATTATTTGACGAACCACGAAAAGCGTAAGAATATTTTGCACACTAAATATGTAAGAAAGACTTCGTTCCAAAGGTTCAACATGGTTGGTATATATAACATAAGTGTAAAAGCTTTCTCAAAACCGAGACAAGACACGGAATCAATTCCCACGGTGCAGGAAAAAAATTGTAAAAGCATTTTTAACATTCGTGTAAACAAGCCTCGTGTTTTATGTTTAGAATACATTGCGGTACGACACGTAGCACAGCACGTACCCACGTCTCACGAATTATATATGTGAGTTCGAACTTTATATATCTACGTGAATACTTTACGTTCACTAATCTAATTGTGTTTTGATCTTCTAAGAGAGATTCTTTTCAACGGAAACATTAGGATCTTATCATTTTATTTGATACATAAGTTATGCGCGTGGTGATTCGATATTTCATGCAATGTATTGTCAGATGAAAGCACATAAATGCACACACGTGAACACGTACATTATATATATATTTATATATATATATGTACACATAAATCTAAATCAAGTTCCTTGCGTGTTACGTTTAAATATCATGTATATGTTCCTCATTTTGTTTATATACGTCATATATGTTCCTATTTTTATATTGCTCTTTGTGATTCGTTATGTTCCCTTTTTTTTTTTAGCATTCTGATAATTTTTATAAAATTTTTAAAGACAGTTTTTATTTAAATTATTGATTATCATATATTATTTGACAATTAATGTGCTCTTTAACGTCTTCGAATGATCTAAATAATCATTTGTCGTTGTGACTCATCATTGTAGATAATATAATTCGTTCCAATTTGAATTAAAAGGAAATCTAACTCTTAAAATGTAATACGCAGATCTTGTATTTTGGTATATTGATATTTCTGATATATATTCTATAAAGAATATTTGCTTTGACGAAATTCGAAGTTATACATGCGATGATGTAAGTAAATAGTAAAGTAGTAATAACTAAATTAGTAAATATAGATGTATAATCTGAATAATACCGCGAAATTACTTTACTATGCATCCATCCATTTACAGACATACTGTTTTTTTTGTTTCAATTATGTAATCCTTCCATTATAAAATGCAAACGAGATTTTTTCTACAATATAAGTGAAATTTTGCAGTCTTATGCTGCTTGTAATATACGAACAATATCTCAAAACTTTCAAGATTACAAATAAATCAATCCGTTACATAAAGTCAAAAATTCTTTGTTCATATTTGGTTAATAATAATAGCAACGATATTAATAATAGATAAAAAATTAATATATCACATTAAAATAGCTGTTTAGATATTCTATTTGAATGATTATTAGTTTTGCAATTTGTATACATAATAAGACGTTTTCCAACAATGTACACATATAACACAGTAACATTGCTCGACACTGTAAAAAGCTAAATACGAGCGTGTAAAACATGTCAATATTACCAACTTTTCAAATAGTTATTTGGTAGCCATACTTATTTTGAAATAAAACCGTCAAAAACCGTCAATTCTGAAAGATTTATAACTTAAGACTAAATTAAAATCTATTATTGACGCTAAATATAATCATAAGAATAAGGATGGAAGACTACAATGCATTTTAGTGTTACATTATGAAATTAAATTGCGTTCCAACAAGTATCTTACACAGTGGAACACAATATAATTCTGTATCCTAGCTGGAAAACAGCCATGATGAGTTCTTTAACAAAACTTATATATATAGTCGATAAACTGTTTACATTTTGAATAAATTCCATTTCTTTTTCTACTTTTATCTTACTATTTCATGTATATTGGAGCTCTTAACTCCAATATCATTAATCGCATGCGTAACTTCGTAACTTCTTCATGCGTCGAAATGTAAGAAAGGGGAACATCGTTTAGTTGTAATTACTATACACATCACATGCGCGAATTGCGAGTTGTCAGTGTTTTCCCGCGTGACTAGTATCATCGCTTGAGCACGACGTAGGTACGAGCTCTGCTTCGATTTCGGAATGCTCTTCGCATATGACATAACACACAATACACATAAATACATAGACGCGAGCACATAAGTAATTTGCGTTTCACAAATCGCTCTCGCAAATACTCTGTGTCGATGTAGATCGCGAAACGCACTCGCGGATTGTCGCACGCGCCGCACGCCGTTTCCACGTTATTGTAATTAATCGATTTATAACTAAAACGCGCTGTCGTGGCTGAGAGAAAGTTTCTATCTTTCAGTTCCTTCTGTTCCACGAAGCTTAAGCCGAATTAGCCGTTTTGTTCTGTTACTGTTTATTTGATAGTCTCTAAAGAACGGAGAACAAACGGAATTTTGTGGCTGCGGGATCTTTTGAATTGAACTATTCTCGGGAATTTATGAGCGAACGGATTAAAGTTTGTCCGACGTTCATTGGATTTCATCGAAGGAACAGCAGGGCGAGAAAGACGGTTACGACGGCACGTATACATAAATATCGGCGTTTCGTCACGTCCGTGAACTTTGCGTCTTCCCAAGACGAGAGCATCTTCCGCATCTTCGTCATGTTGATACCGCGCGGGAATACATTTTAAAATATGTACAAAGATCATTGTCTCATATAGCACACATTACGCATACGAAACACACACACATACACGCGCGCGCGCGCGCGACACACAAGAGTATCGTTCGTGTAATCTTTCGCTCTTCCTCTTTTCAAGAGGGAAACAAAAATATTGCTTTCTCGTTATTTTCTCGGTTTTTTTAACGCAAAGATATTGCCGCACATTGATTTTGTATCTTTTCTCTTTTTGTCTTATTGCAACAAAGTAGGCTACACACATACGTACAATTTACATGTAGAATGTACCGAGAATGAGAGACGAGTCGCTTGTAATTGTAAATCTTGAAAGAAAAGAGGGGAGGCGTGCGCGTGCCGATGTGCGCGCATTTATACGTGCATTTACATGTACACATTTCACGTACACGTATACCCCGAAATCACACTTAAATCATGAATTAGTTAGATAAGCCACGCGTGAAGCCAGTACAGTCCCACGGCGTGAGAGTGTGCGAAAAGTAAGAGGAAGGTGTACTTTGTGAAATACACTTGAGCGTATAGAGAGAGAGAGAGAGAGAGAGAGTGTGTGTGTGTGTGTGTGAGAGAGAGAAAGGGAGAAAGAGCGCATGTGTATGTCGATGCATGCACGCACGTATATGAATGCATGTGCGGGAAAATGTGGGAGAAAATGCGGGTGATTTCGACACGAGCATGCAGTGGGTTTTAGCATAAATGATCTATTGACAAATGTTGTATATTATTACGAATTATAATGACACTATTATAATTAATTAATTAATTAATTAATTAATTATTATACCCTAATAATGTGAATTGAATTTAAACGACAAAAAATACACGAAATGATAAGTAATAGGCGAACAAATTTTTAATTGTTAGC